ACTGGCTGAACAAAACTCAAGCTTATTGTACTTATAAAGCCACCTAAATTGCTATATTTATTTATTTATTTATTTATTTATTTATTATGGAGTGAATAAAAATTGACACACAAAAATATAGCTAATAAAAAGGAACAAAAAAGAATAATTAAAATTTTTTTAATTTTATACAAACAAACAAATTTTAAGTAACTCAGTTTTTGTAGTTTCAACTTTCTTGTTTCAATACTTTTGTAGCATTAGAACTTTACATAATTAGTTAGATTATGTATAATTGACATATACATAACCTAACTAGAAAGAAGAAAGTCAAAACTACAAAAACTCAGTTACTTATAATTTTAAAAAATTTACCCCTATTTTGGCAAATCACTGTAATTATGTCAGTCTGTTCTAGATATCCAATATTCTTAAAGAATAAGTTTGAACTAATAGTAGACTAATATGGAGTAACCTACTTTTACAATACAACCATCCATTTACGACACCCCAGATGACATTACAACACCTGTCACAATACTGATGTGATCTTTCCATTTGGCGTAATTCAAACTTGTGCCCCATTACTACTTTTACATCTGTTTCTGGAACTGGTTCACCTTCCTAGGACAAAAAATTTAATGTTACATTTCATCAAGAAAATAAAACAATTAAAAATATAAGGAAAAGTAAATATAAAGAATAGAAAAAAATATTTATTTTAATTGAGATAAATTGTTTCTTTCAATTACAATTTTGAAGTAATATTATTTTAGGGTAACCGATTTACTCCTATCTAGAAAACTCAATACTGTAATGTTTGTAATGAATATTTTTTAATTTAAGAGTAATCCCAAATTAAAAAACTATTTAACATCTGCAAAGGAATGATTTTTTTAGGGTTTCAAATAACCATATATAATGGATATCCCAGGATTTAGGTAAGGTTTTCTTTAAAAATTTAGGGTTATTCTAAAGGTATGAAGAAGCTCCATAATTTCAGCATTGTTTTTTTTGCTCAAAATGGAAATAGAAAACAAATCAGTTAAAAAGAGTTATTTACAACATGTACTTTATCTGAATTATGGTTTTCCCACTTCTAAGAATTTAAATTAACAATTTAAATGGCCCAGTTTAATATGGAATAAAACTGAACAAAATGCATATTGTTTAAACAGTTTGAGATTAGTAAAAGCTGTTTGCATTTGAAAATAGCATGCAAAATGTTTTCTCTTAAGTTTAGAATAATCTTAAAGTACTAAATAAAGATTCATAAGCTGTGTAAAGAATTTTACTTAAATGAAAATATAACTGACTGACTTAAGTATTTTTAAGCTAATTCCATTTCCCATTTCAACACTATTAGCAGCCAAAAATCACATTAGATGTTGAAAAAAAATTTTAAAACCAAATATTTTAAAGTTAACATTTTTCAACACTGAAAATGGGTTTCCACTCAATACTCACCTACTCTCACACTTCCCATCCTTCCTCCCCACTTCCAGTGCATCTTCTTTTCTTGTTTAACCTTGAAGTGATGATTGAGCAATCAGTATAGAGGGAGTCAGATGCACTAGGAGGGTGTATAACACTCCTATTGGTGGATGGTTGTCACATGCTCATTTGCATGCAATAATGCAACAGTATTGTATGAAAACATGAGTTTAGGTGTAAGCCACAAGGCTACTGGCAAGCAAAAAAGATTTGCATATAGAGGGCAGCACTAAATTGGGAAAAGCTATATGTGAGGGGAGGTTACGTATGATCTTGGAAATTTCCTTTTTTAAGAATATCAAAAGCCATTTCTAATTACTGGATACATATCAGTTTATATAGTTTAAAAATTACCATTCATATTTTACTTGTATCCTCAAATTTTAGTCAACTTTACCCCTCCTCCCTAAAAGAAAGTGTTTTTGAATTCATGTATAGGTGATATACCAATATTTATGATGTTATCATCAAGTAAAAGGTTGTTTATGACTCCAAATTGAATTCTCAAATTAATCATCTTTGCATACAGTACAAAAATGTATAATAATTGTATTGACTTTACTTTTACACTATATTGTAATCTGTACAAGCATCTCTATGACTGATATTTCATTTTAAAAAATGTTTAAGCCAAAACAATGATATTTATTTGTTAACATGTCCACCACATGTTGTTTGTAATTTCCTTTACTTCAGACCTGGAGATAAATTAAACAGGAAAGTTAATTTCCCCACCCATCCCCCTCTCACCCACCAAGATTTGGAAAACCTTACTATAAAGTATCAATTTCACACTTTTAATACAAGTGCTGTACAGATCCAGTACAGTCCAATGCCAGGTCAAATATCAATGCATTTTCACTTAAGAAACATTCCAGAGCGTTCAGAGACAAAATACAACCTTCTAAATGCATTAATTTTGTCAATTATTTTCAAATAAGATGTTAAGAATTAGCAATTTTAAATTTGGAAAAGCATAACTGATCATGATATCAAATATCTACCTTTTGTTCCAACTAAGTTCTAAATTAATGCAATAAGTACAAAAACTTTGATAATTATATATTAATATTGTGGGAACAATTTTTATTATTGCCCACCACTAAATACTTAAAAAAAGTAAAGATTTAACCTTTTACAAAAAAATAATATATATAATGCATAAAACTGTCATCCATAAAAAAACTAAATAAATACACAAACTTTCATATACAGAA